AGAGCCAATCACAGGGTTAACAATACATTAATCATACTCTATCTAACATTAATCAACTATTAAAATAACAAATCTATAACATCCTTTAACTCTCTTTTAAACAAATATACTAGTATTAAACACAATAATTATAACATCATATTAATAATTAGAAATAAAAATAAGTAAACTATTATAACATATAAACTACATTAATACTCCAAGATTCACTCAAAAACCAAATGAAACTTTTTAGTCCCATTGAAACTTTTTAGTCCCATAATTTTTTAATTTAAGAAATACTATAAGTTAGTTTGCATTTTAATACCTGACATTGAAAATGAATAAAGATATTAAAAGGATAAAATATCAGTCACCAATGTACATAAAATATTTTACTTGTTTCAGGTGTATGGGGAAGTGCATTTGCTATACTGATCAACAGAGTGCTTGGCCTTTCCAATAGCCACAATAAAGGACCCACAATGGAAGAAGAACTAGGTATTGTAATAAAAGTTGGAGCATGTGTCTAGGTTGATATTTCTGTTTAAAATAATTAAATAATAAATAATTAAAATTTAATTTAAATAATTAAATTAAAGTTGGCATGCTGAAAAGCAAAGCTCTAGCCTCCAAGATCATCTATTTCCCAGGTCACCTTGTAGTTCTAAAGGAAGTAATAACCTACAGTATAAGTGCTTTGTTTGGAAATGTGCTACCTGAAGACTAAAAAAGAGAAAAGTAAGTAAAACTGGTACAGAATACCAGTACTGCACCTTGACCTACAGGGATGGAATCTAGAAATGATGGAGGTGGTTATATGTTAAAGAAAGAAGTAATTTGTAACTGTCCATGTCTCCCATGACAGCCAGATTGTCAATGCTACGTTCTTCTCAGAGCTTTTGCAGCTAGGTAGAAAGAATATTCACTTTTCAGTTAGAAAAGCTTGGGATTCCTGTGCTAATTTTAAAAGTAGCTTAGACAAATTCATAGACTTTAGTAATTATGGCTATTATAGCTATAAGCAGCTTGGATGCCCATGTTTCTTCCAATAGTATGGAATATCATCAGGAAAGAATATTGCCTTTATGTCCTGTGTTGGAGTTTGTCTGAGGCATCTGGCTATATATTTAGTAAGAACAATGCTTGATTAGTGGAACTCTAATATCGTGAGTTTTATTGTTCTGTTTATTCATGTCTGTCCATTCTGTTAGGGATAAAAACTTCATGTCGCTTATTTCCCCATGCAGCTTATGTTTGGGACTGTTATTTGTCTCCCTCATGAACTAAAGAACAAGTGAAGAATAATCAAACAGAAAGATAAAATTGCTCAACAAGATGGTTTTTTACAGATGCCTAGATCCAGAAGTTTAGCCATCTCCCAAGCTTGTTCCAGTCAAAGCATGAGCAATCTTGGGGGAAAAAAATTGTAACCATTTCTGTAATTCACTTGTGATGGCCCTCTGAAGTCCACACGATCATAGGTTTTGGAACCCCAGTAATTTATGTTGTTTTATCATTATTACCCAAATAAATTCAGGGCATAATGGAAACATTCTCCTTAACATTTTTGGAACATAATTTATTATACTACACCAGTGTAGATTGGTAGATGTTTTTCAACTTCCTAGTTGAAGAGAAAATAACTTGCTCAAAGTCACCTAGTTGGTTTCAGTTCCTGATGAAGAATTAGAATTAGAACATGGGTTTCACCATTCCTGGTTCAGCCACCACTCTGGCTGTCTGCATGACACGATCTGACTTTATATAAAAATTGACATAGAATTTTAAATGGAAGAATTGCTATAATGGACAAGACCAAAGCACCAGAGGATAATATATATATTTTTTAAAAAAGCAAACACTAAATCTATATTAAGGAAAGATGTAGAACACTATAAAAGGTTTTATTTCACTCCAAATAGACCACACAGAATGCAGGAGATGAGCTGTCTCTGAAAATTTCTTCATTGTAGTAGTCATCCATGCCACTCCTTTATCTACTCATAGTTGACAGCCCTTTGTTTGGTCTGTGGTCCTTTACAGAAGCCCATCATTTTTCCCTACTTCTCCCCTGGCAGTTGTCAGGCTTTTAAAAGAATATGGGTGAGAAAAATGCATCTATGTACATTTTTGGCTAACATACAGTTCTACATATCCTATAGGAAATTTCCATCTCTCCCTCCCTAGGATATTAGGAAATAAAATTGGGAGCATCTAAAATAAATGGCCGATTGGTAGCAACTGTTTGCTTATATTTTAAAATGGGTGAATTTGTACTTCAATCAGAGAACCATTTGAAATATGCATTATGTTCCTGGCTTCTGTAGTGGAGAAATATATAGTTTTTCAAAGGCATTGAGACTTGCTCCCAAATGGATAAAACATTGTTCCAAAAACTAAAAGCATGCTTAATCGTATTGAATTCATTGACTTTGATATGGTTAACTCTTGTATTATTTTAAAACTAAATCTGTGGGTGGCTTAGTTGGTTGTGATGTGCTCATTCTGTCATGACTCTTTGAATGCCTGATAGTTTGTTGTTACAGCACTATTAGTCAGAAATCCTTAAATCAGAGTGAATCTTATTGCAGAGTTGAAAAGGAAAACATGTTCATTGGCCGCCAGAAAACCCTGATACTGATCTACACAGACATGCTCTCAGATGGCGTGAGAGCATGGCTCTTGTAAAAATCACACGGTCAACTATACTTTTAAGGAAATGATTTACTTGCTTTCCAAAATGCAAACCACTCCCAACTGAACATTTTCGTGAGATAATAATAATAATAATAATAATAATAATAATAATAATAATAATAATAATAATAATAATAATAACAACAACAACAACAACAACAACAACAACTCCTGAAGAATAAGTTAATCTAATTATTTCATACTGAACATAATGTCAGTTTCTTGATAAGAAGCATAAGATATCCTACACCCTTTGTTTCCCCATATACAAATATACTTTGGAAATCCATTTCTTAGGAGGAAGAATATTGGAGTAGTCTAGAAATCAGAGCCATCCATACTAAGATGATTTTTGAAACTACTTGAAATGTTTTTAGTATGTCAGACTGCGTTGAATATCATAACCATGAATGAGTCCTAAAGCCAGTTCTCCTCACTTCCTAGCTTCCACGTTTCAGTGCTATCGTAATGAATTTAAAATGCCAAACTGATTTAATGTTGGAAAACTAGCTGGAGCACTTTATAAAACAGGATTATATCCCAGTACAGTTTGTTACAAGTAGGTGTAATGTAGAAAGAGTGTAGAATTGAAGCAGTGTTTTAGAGTTGTTGTCCTCAGCTGCTGTTCTGAGACAGACCCCTACGTTAACAAAGCTTGTCTGTCTCTTGGATCACTGGTTTATTTGGTGTAGTTTTTTTTTTAATGTATTACGGGTTTTATGAAGGGCTTAGTGAGTCCAGTGGGAAATAGCTTGCTCACATTTGAAGATGTAATGATACATTCCAGTGATGATGTGAGGAACTAGTCTTGTGCCAGTATTTATACTAGGGAGATGATGATAGAATTGGGCCTTGATGTAATTCCAGGAGATTGATTTGAGGGTTTCAGAAAGCAGGAATTCCAAGAAGTGACTAAATTGGTGGTCCTTTGTCCTTTTCAACTTTAAGGATTGTGGATATCCTTTTCCCAGGTTGGCTGAATCTAAGTATATAAATAGAACCCACCCAGCCACCCTGGAGATCAAATTACATATTGCATTGAACATATAGAAGCTTCTTCTTCATTTTTTTCTTTTATTGCCAGTGATAGTCCTACTTTAATGCAATTGCAGACAAGCATGGAGAGGGAAGTTTTGCAATCTTTTCCCTTCCAGCCTAGAGTTATTTTCCAAAGGAAATAGCTGTGAGAAAAACTTAAATTATCTTCCCTGTGTACCCTTGCCCTGATCCTGGTTAGGATCTTATAGACTTTACTTTTAAGTAACCTAAAAAGTACTTTTTAATGTATAATACTGTATGTAGATCTTCCATGATCTTCTGTAAAAAGAAAAAAATAAAACTACATTAATTGCTGTTATTACATAGAGAGCAAGCAGAGTAGGGAAAATTGAATCTCACTTGTACCTCAGAAGTTTGATTGTTAGATTAATTTGTTTCTCACGCTGTATTAGGTCTTGCTTTGTCTCGGTTAAGACTAGCTGTGAGTTGGCTCGAGTAAAAGAAAAACAGTGCACATTTTTTCCCTAAAGATGTTTCTTTTGATTTTAGTAATACTGTAATATTAATAAGTAGTTAGATCAGATAGGGCAAAGAGCAAAAAGAAGTCACTGTCAGATAACAAGAAACTGGTTTTATAAATTATGAATTTCTTTCTTAATCTCTTTTATCAGAGGGTGCATTGTAAAAAAATCCAATGCCTCCAACTTTTACGTAGCCTTCCAATCATATTTATGGAGATTGAAAAACGTTTGGAATAAAATAACTGCAAAACTCAAGCTAACTTTTTTTTAAAAAAAAAATCACAGCGACCTTGTTTCCTCCAAAGCACCTCTATAGGGAAGGTAGGCTAGATTAAAACGCTTAAGTAAATACAGGCAACTGCCTTTGCCCTAGCCTGCTCCCATGCCCCAGTATCTATGTAATGATCCATATGGAAGGTGCACATTCCCTCTGTGTTTACAGAATGGAAGGCACCTGCAGTGAAAAAATATTCTCATTAATTGCCTTCCCCTTCCCAATATTAACATATTTTCTAATTTCTTCCATTTCTCTATTTTTACTTAACATTTCTTTTCTTATTTTCACAGAAAATATCAGGTTGCGACAGATTGTAAGCAATGATTCAGATAGTGATGATGAATCACAGGGGCCGAAAGGTAAGAAAGGTTACCAACCATGACAGTGCCTACAAAATATTTTTATGGACAATGTCTTACCAAAGAAAGACATAACCAACAGACCAAAACAAGACTATGCGTTAATTAGACAGAGGTACTTTCCCCCCATTAAATATTTCTGGATGCTTTATAAAAGCGTGTGCTTATTTTTTTTTTAAAAAAAGAAAATATAGGTGTTTAAATGTCCAGGTTATGTACTAGATTACAAAAACATGTTAAAAATATCAGAATGACGTTTATAATTTATATTGTACTTTAAGATATTGAAAGTTTTTTTTTGCATGTGTTATCTTGTAATACTTAAAACAATCTGCAAGATAGGCTTGAACCATGAGATGGGCAGCAATTAAATTAAACTAAATTAAATTAAATTTAAATAAATGTTAGTATTGCCATCCCTATCTTACAGACCAGTGGTAAAACACAGTATTACTTCCCTGAGTACACAAGTAGTAAGTTCATGTGAGAACAGTGATGTGCTGCTTGATGTATAAGAACTGACTTCATTGTTGCCTGCTGCTGCAGAACAGCTGATTAGTGTGCTAAGTGTGGAGACTCAGCTCTGTTCTGAAATGGCTTGCAAAATTAAAGAAAAATTAACAATTGGCTCTTGTGAGCCAGTTTAAGGACATCCCTGAAAGAAAAGCTATTCATCTAGAAATATACAGATGCAATTGCCCTCTTTTATTTAAAAGAGAAATAGCAATAGCAATAGCACTTAGACTTATATACTGCTTCACAGGGCTTTACAGCCTTCTCTAAGCAGTTTACAGAATTAGCATATTGCCCTCAAGAATCTGGGTCTTCATTTTACTCACCTTGGAAAGATGGAAGACTGAGTCAACCTTGAGCCAGTCAGGATCGAACTACTGGCAGTCAGCAGAATTAGCCTGCAATATTGCATTCTAACCACTACGCCACCATGGCTCCAAATACATTTTATAAGAACCCTGCTTTTTAAATTAAATGGTATCTTAATAGAAACTTTGCCACAAGTTTCTGTTCATGAACATAGTTTAAAAGTTAAGCACTGATACGAAAAACACTGGTCATGTGCAATTAAATACCTCAGCTAGTCCATTTGAAGAATGGGGCTTCAGATATACATATAGAGCAATCCACAATGTTTGGATCTTATCCATTTCATAAGGAAAGGCATTTGGAATTAAAGAGTGGCCAGCACATCCCTTTTCCTCCTCTTCATTTACTTCTCAGCTTTGATTTGCATTTTCTAGAAGCTGTTTTCTTAAAGAACAGCATCAACGGCAGTCAGAAAAATAGCAGTAGACCTCCATTGAGCATATTTTGCATGCCATGTACCTTGTGCCCTTCAGCTGTTGCCTTTCTGCAAAGGCATTCTTTCTGTGACCATTTTATTAAAATCTTCTCAGAAAGTTATTTTGGAATATCACTTCATTAGGTGCTGATGGCCTTTCTTCTTACCTTCTCAAACAGGCTCAGAAAACCTCCAGGCTGACATATCTCACGAACAGACCAGCCAGGAAAGCTGGGTTCAGAGGATGTTTATGGCGCTGGTGGGCGAGAGTGCTCTTTTCACCACCCGAGAGGGCCGTGCTGGCAAAGTCCACAATTTCATGTTGGGTTTGAATCTCAATACTTGCTACCCATTATCCCCTTTCGTTGGTGTCAGTACCCAGGAATCTGTGGAGGATGATGAAATGGATACTGCTGTAACAGGTGAAAATCCCTATGTTTCTTCATTCTGTTTCTCTGATCAGTAAGACAGAATAAAATGTAAAGCAATTATTATTTTTGAGACTTGCTTCCAAATAGGAGTAGTCCTTGACATACAATCATTTGTTTAGCGACCGTTCAAAGTTACAGTGGCATTGAAAAAAGTGACTTACTCACCTTTATAACCATTGCAAAATCCCCATGGTTAAGTGATCAACATTAAGGTGCTTAGTGATTAACATATATTTAAAGGGTTGCAGCGTCCTGGGGTCATGTGATCTCCATTTGCCACCTTCCCCACCAGCCGAGGACCCGGGGTAGGGGCGGGGGGGTAGCGGTCATTATAAGGGAGGGCCTTTGTCCTAGGGAGACCACTGTGCCTCAGATAGACGGCGTGGAGTCCCTCCTTGTGAAGTGGGGGCAAGGGGTACAAGTGGGCTTGTTGATTATATACCTGGCTCCCTGCTATGTATCAACAGCCCTGCCTGAGCTGGCTGACG